AGATTAGTACCACAGGCTATGTGGGGAAGCTTTTCAAAAAATAATAGCTTCATTTGGATGAATCGAGAGAAGAGAGTTAAGGTTGCCTGCATGTACCCTCCAGGCCTTTGCCCAGGTGTAAGAAAAATATTACCTCAGTCAATTATCAGCACAGTCCAGTGTCATTATTAAAAGGAAGATCATTACTCATCTATACCTAGCATTTGTATTTGAACCACTTTACTTTAAAATACATAGACTTGACTTCTCCTCCAATTAAACTTTGTCTACAAGCACATATGATTACCGCAGTAAATCAACATTTTATATAGGGCAAAACAGAGTAGGTTGATAATGATAGCCAAGCCTTGCTCCTTTCTTCTGTTTATATCAGTGCTTTAAGTGGACCGGTATGCCATAGTATACCACTACGCTAGGGAAGACCATGATATGCCACTTTTTATCACAGGTTCTAAATTTAATCCTGGGACTTTCCTGGCCCTACTGGCAACGACTTGAATCTCAAATCTGTAAGACAACATTGTTGTCGGCCAGGTGCCAGAAGGGCATAAAAATGTGTCTTTTATAGGCTGTTGAAATTTAATACATAGTTTAAACAATTTTCTGATACCAAACCCAAAATAAACATACCATCAACTAAATAATGGGAGTACCAGCTCTTGTTTTCCTCCACTTAAGGCACTGGTTTCAGCATACCTTGTGGTTCCCCTTATTTTCACTTTGCAAAACTGATTTAGATTTTTCTCTTGTAATGGAGAGGTGTCCAGCTCCACTCTTTGGGGGCCAGAATTCACAGAACTGGATTGATGGACACACAAGTAAGACACTGGGGATTGTCTGTGCGTCTTCTGTCTAGTCTGGCCAATTAACAAAAAATGATGGATCAATCTTGAGGACATGCTGCCAGTCCAAATAAAAGGAGGAAAACTGAAACGGCCCAGCTAGTTGGGGTCCCTGAGGAGTGGAGTCGGATCCTTTCTGTCCTGAGCCATGAATCCCCGAGGTACATTGGAGCTCATAATCACACATGGTTTTAGCCCTGAGCAAAATTATATAACCATTCACTGGGCCTCTTACCCCAAAGGGGGTCACAAAGAGTCCAAAGACCTTATTTAAGTTAAAGTCAGGATTATGGTTGTAATGATTAACAGGGACTTTGGATGTAACAGCTTTGGCGAGTAGGCAACAAGCTTTCTTATAATTTAATGACCCGAAAGATAGTTTCTATATGCCTCACACCAACTCAAGTAGGTTTTAAACTGTTCTAGACAATATACTGGCTGCCCATGGGACTCATTGCTTCACAAGTTTAGTTTCTCATTTCAGTTTTGTAAGTTTTCAAGCTCAGGCTTATTGAAAAACACAAATCAATAGCAATGGAAAATCTCGAAACAGCCTCTCCATTGCCTCCCGTCGGAATAGAAGTTGCTCTCAAGGTGATAACTCTGCCGGTGAAACTGTATTCTTGCTATGGTCACTTGAGGATGCTAGAGAGGCCTCTTTGCTCGTGTTCAATTAAATCTTGAATCCATAGGATAAGGTCAGCAGTGGAAAAATTGTCTCTGTTGAAGTGCTGCAAACATTAAAACATTATACTGAGAGAAGCAGGATTCATACCTGCAGGAAAGAGCCCATGAGCGTTCTTCTTTCTATCCCCAAATGCCCTTACCTCCTTCGATATTTATAAGTCGATGGTACATAAGAGCCAGTGCTGTGACTGTAACTTCTTGTCACGTCTCCTGGAGTTTGGAAATGGGAGTCTTGGGACAAATGGTATATGATAAAGGATATTCAAAAAAATGTTCCCTAGAATTTAATCTTCACTTCGGCCCAGGTACATTTATCTCCCCACACAAAATTGTACATTCTGCCAAACAGAATAATATATTTATGTTGTAAACATGTAAGATATATCTTTTTACATCAGATACATTTCAGAGGCTACAGTTTGGTGCAAACTGAAGATAAATATTTTTGTGCTCGAGTGTGACAGGGTTGGACAGTCCTGCTTTCTACTTTAAGGCTAAATCAGGCTGGTCGGGGCATATTTTACAAATTGATGATTGATGAAAACCTTCTGCACATCCTGATTATTAGAGAAAAGGGGCATCTTGGGGTAGCTTTGGTGTAGTGATGCTAAATAGTACCTTAGCTCACTACATCTTACAGTTAGCTTACCCAACACTGCATGGAACACCGTGCTGTGGAGGTCTGCTTTCCCTAAATGAGGCTTGAATAAAAAAGGATAAAAAATAGACATTTATCTTGTTTAAAGTAGATTTTATTCTTTGAAAAAATGTAGAACTTGAGATCTGTACTGCCCCTGACAAGGAAATTAACTCTGAAAAGTCAGCTGCAGACTGCTAACTTCTGTGCTCATCTGCTCACAGAAGTTAGGTTAGCCTTAGCCCTGGCTGGTTCTGCTAGCTTAAAAGAGGAAGCAAGACTTTGATTAAACTGCAAACAAATGCTGTCTGTCTGCTGTTGAGGTCATTTTGTCGCTGTTGATTCATTTGTGGGTTGACCTGATCTAGTGATCATTTGACTCATTGTGAACCAAATAAGAGACGGACTGAGGGAGTTTCCCTGTGAATCCAACATACAGCTAAATGGAGAGCATTTCTACCGGTGGCTAACTGTGACAAACACACACACACACACACACACACACACATGCACGCGCGCATATACAACCATACACACACAGACACTAATGTAGAGAATCAATGAATATACTGTATGTGTTTGAATAGATTAGCTATACACTATATGGACATGAAATGTGAGAACACACAACATATACTTTAGCAGTATACCTACAACACAGCAAATACACACCCATATTTATACAAAAAACACCTTCCTACACACACATGCATACACACACACACACACAAAGCATACTATATTCACACCTGCCCACACAAAGTATGGACTAAATATTCTTATCCACGTTTACAGACATATGGTCTTACAAAGTGCCAAAACGGCAAGTTTTCTGTGCAGGCGGAGAGGAACCAAACATCTGTAAAAATGAACAAAGTGTCTTTAAGGCTCAACAGCCTGAAGGGTTTGTAATTCTCTTGTTGTTACTTTTGTTTATTCAGACTTACTTCTACATTTCATTCAAGTTATACTTTTTGTTTTAAAGCAGGTATTGTTTTCTCTGTTTTGATTTTCATGTGCTTTTCTAACCTGTTTTCTGTATATGCTGGAATGTAACCGCTGATTGTGACTGTCATACTTGCAGCTTTATGAGCCCTTCTGATCTGTCAGACTTAAAACTACATGTCAAAATGGCTTATGTTTCAGTACATCTCTAAATAATCACTTATGTTAAACTGGCCGCAAAGTCAAGCTCAGCCCAAAGTCCGCTGACTGACCTTAACACTGGCCCCATATTGTTAACTTCCCTCTATTAGATTAGAGATGTTAAGCTCCTCCTTTTCATGCTGTTTCTGATTGAATCCGTATCCTTAGTACTGTCATCGATGCCCACTTTGTTCTAAACATGAGGGTCTTTGCTGCTGCTCTCCCTGCCTTTGCTTTTCCTTATGCATATTAAAGGGAGAACGGAGCCATACCGCCAAATGTAACTCATGGCATGCAAATAATACGGTCAGAGTTTCTTAAAATTATGTAAGTTGCAGACTAAAACTGCCTCCCTCTGCAGCAGTTCCTAGCCAAGCTTTTGACTACTGACAACCTCCGACCATCCAATTTATCATTTCCTGTAGATTATACCACATACCACTGACAGATAAAAGGATGCTTGTTTGAATGAAATATTAGACCATTTTGGAATATTAGTTTAACCTACACATCAGGTCCCGTGAAACCTTCAACTGAGAGGCAAATTTAGCCTGTGGATTTACATGTAGTGTCAGAGTAGCTGCATCTTACATCATCTTGGTAGTACCATTGCAGTTTTTCTTACTGGAATAACTCTCCATAACTCTCAAGAGTCAAATACGGAGTGTTCATATCAATGCATCAGGTAACTTTTTTTGAGCTTGCTTTGGCAGTTGTACAACATAGGTTGATAGATGTTTTATTGTCACCTTTAAAGTTCCACACACTGGGAGCTCTGATAAAGAGGTGATGATATACCTGTCACTGTTAGCCTTTAAAAAACCCTGTTCTCTGAAGAGGAGATGGAAAAAAGCAGCAGGAGAGTCTGGGTGTGTTTTTGTGGAAGATTAAATCTGCAGGAATCTGTGTTTGCAAGTGTGCATATGTGCACACATATGCTGACTTTCATTACTTTTCACTTTCACATGTCTGTGTGTGCAACAGTGTGCATGTGTGTGCAGCCATGTTATCTGCTTTCTCATGACCTGTTGTGCCGGGTGTTGCAGCTCTGCATGAGTGCATAGTCAACATGTAAATGGGTTGCAATCCTAGTAGACTATGTGGGTGTGTGCGTGCGTGTGTGTGTGTGTGTGCCAGTGTGTGTTTCGGGGATTTTATTATGAAAGTCCGTTCTGTCAGGGGGAGTGATGGCTGAGGCCGAGTATCTGAGGCGTTTTCAATTAAACTGCCTCTCAGTCTGCAGGGCTCTCCAATAAGGCTGTGCTCATGCTCTTCCTTGCTGCCAATCACACTCTCTCTCTCTCCTTTTCTCTCACTCTCTCACTCCCTCTCTCTCGCTCATGCTTTCAAATAGGATTGTATTCACATGCTGCTCATTTCATGCACACATATTTTAGCTGCGTGAACTCCCTCATAATGCAAACAATCAGACAAACATAGGTGTCATGTCCCCACACAAGCCCTGGTTGTAATTATACATTCCTGCTCACACACACACACACACACACACACACACGCACGCACACTGTGTTCACAAATATTGTCTTTCACTATAATGACATTGTTATCCATGCATGCACCACACTAAGTCCACACTTTTACCACATATATCGACATCACCTCTGTCTACTTCTGGATGAGTAAATTGCTTTTCCTCCTCTCCTGCAGAGCCTTCATCCCTGACCCTCTTGGCCCTCATTGCCTGATTAGCATGGGCACAGCAGGTTAGCTTGCACTCAGACAGCTAGCATGGCGTGCAAGTTGCCCCAACTCTTGCTCCCGCAGCTGGAGGCGGGGGCAGAATAAAGCTCGCCTGACCTCGCACAGACCTGGGTCGAGTAAAGGTCAAGCTTTGATTTTGTCTTTTAAGACCCCGGTGTTTCTGGAACTTCATGAAAGCTGTTTACCCTCTTTAAGGTTCAGAGAATGAAGAGTGGAAGTTATATGGGACTATTTTAGAGAAGTTTGTTGTTTGAGCAAGAACCCGAGACCCTAGGAAAGAGTAGAACTTGAGTTTGATGGAATCAAAACGATCCAACATTCAGTATGTTTGCATGTACAGCTACACTTACAGCTTCATTTGGCAATTTAACCACAATTTAACCATCCAAGTTCTCATTTTGCAACTATTGCGGCAATATGCCGTCTTTCAGCTGATTACTGCTGGGTTGCCTCCGGGTGGACCAAAACATACACATTAATGAACAGGCTAAATGAGTGAAAACACTGTCACTTTTACAGACCCATACCTCTCTGTCCATACAGAGTATGTTTACACCCTTTCTTCTTCTGTCAAAGTTTTGTTTACCACTCAGCTTCCCAGCAATAAATTGAGACAAATGTTTTGCTAAATTATCTGTACTGTTGGCATTACTGATGTGTAGCTGTGAGTGAGGAGGCTAAAGGCCTGCCTCAATTTTCTGACACACCTTAAGTGGTCTATAAGGTGGCTAGGGAATGGGTTCATCAAACTGATGAGATTAAAACAGCTGGAGCATCTCTGAGTCTCTTGCAAGTTTGTTTCAACAACCTGCTGGTTTGTATGATCATGAGGCTACACCATGTGGTAAATACTCTTCGTTTCAGGTGCGGTTACTTAACCTGTTTGGTAATCCTTGTTTTTAGTAGGAGTGGATCCATAAGTTGACATTTCTTTTGATGAACCTGGCATTCCTTGCATGTCGTTTCTTGTTTACAGTTGTAGTCTGATCCATGAGCTTTGAATCAACATCTGTCCTCCTCGATCAGAAAGTTATTCATAGTTGCTACATCTCCTTTTCGGTGTCGTTGGTTCCATCATATTCTATTAGAAAGAGTTCCCCAGCTGGTCATGCCTTTTTTGGGGGCTAATAAGGATGTTAGAGGTTGGCAAATCCTTTACCCGTTTGATCTGAGTGATCCGACACATGCATTGGTGATATTTATCAAAATAAACACAAGGTACTCAGGCTTTAATGAAAGCCTGTGCATCTCTCAGCTCCCACACACCATAAATAAGATGATTTCACAATAGAGGTATCATATGCTCTTTTGAAAGCTAATGCTAATCACTTGAATCTTGTTTTTAAAATGGTTTTACAATATGCACAAGGCCAGGTTGTAATCAAGGTTTAGCAGTCAGCTGAGTCAAATATTGGGAAACTAGGTAGCTTCTAGCATTCTTTCTTTCAATCTTAAAACAGCAGTCTTCAGGGTAAGACAACTGAAAAATGAAAAGAAACAACCCCCAGCTAAATCCCTGCTAACTAGAGGGCAGTCCCCAGGATGGAAGCTAAAGACACATCCTGAAATACTAACAAAAAGACACTGTGATCCAGTTGTTGGCCAACACAGAGTCATTCATTCCTGACTGAATGCAGCGCCGCACATTAAAATATTAAGACTAGAGGGACGCAGCAGCAGTATGCAAGCCCTGTTCCTGAGGCATCACTTAGAGAACAATTGCTTTGGCAATTACTAACTGTGGAACATGATCCGAGGGAAATACATTCATGCTTTCAGTTTCTCCCTGAGGCGAACAAACTCTGCAAATTTAATAACAGGCAGTCAAACAGAGAAAGCAGCGGAAGGCAGCTACAGACTGAGCAGTTGTCTGGGTTGGGAAAGGATGTGAAATGTTAGGCAGCAGGTTGTCATGGTGCAGTAGAGTGCTGTGACTCGTCTTCGTACACTTTCTTTCCCTGAACTCTTCATCCACCTTTCCTGCATTTTCCTGTATTACTCTCATGCCTGTCTGAGAATTTGCCTGCACTTTTAATTATGCAGTACTCATAATAAGGGACATCCTAGTCATAATACTTTCTACTTATCTTAAAAGCACTCGGGTATCTCTTTTCTTGTTATCTGCTTTCACTTGCTAAGAGTTGCTAATAGAGTTGACAGTATTGACTTTGTCAGAGTGCTGCAAAGATTGCTAACACTCGGGTTATGAGTCAGGCTTGTGGGTTCTTAGACTGATTTCTCTAAAGTGGCGTGTTGCTCAATGACACTTCTGAAATGTGAACTTCACAACAAGATGGACAACACAAGTGCTCCCTAAAAGTGAAGCCAAAATATTAAGAGCTCCCCCTGTTGATATGTGTTCAAACTTCTCAGATGTTAGTTCTAATGCTGATTTATGTAAATGTATCTGTTCATTTGTTAAGGTTAAGAGATCCTGTGACAAACATTATATTTGGCGCCCCCTCCACGGACAACATGTTACCTCATATTTCCTTGCTGAATTTAATCCTCTGACGCGTACGTCTTGCTATTTGACATAAAATTAATAATAATTTTGCTTTCATTTTAACACCCATGATCATCTCTATCCATTGAACTCTTTGCTTTGGAAAATAAACACAACTTAATGTGCAGTTAACAATCTGACCTCAAAGCTCTCGATAAAGGTGACATTTTACAGATAGTCTTTCAAAATGCAATTAATTTCCCCGCTTTGTGTTAAAAATATCACTGCAACATATCCGATGATTAAACCCGAGACATTTTACCATTTCCAAGTACTCGAGCCTCCGCGGGTCAGCGGTTCAGTGTGATGTCACACTGTGGTCCCTGTATGCAGGGCAATCGATTACAGGCAGCAGCAGCAGTGGTTGCCGGGGGCAACGGGCGGAACAGTCAAGGTTGCTAGGTTGCAGATAAGAACACAGGCTCTCATTAATTGCCTTCTGCCTCAGCCATGGCAAAGTACCGGGTGGTAGATGTTGCCTCAGGATACAGCACCACATTCACTTAATTCACACAAATTCAAATACACATTCAGTCGATGTAAACCAACAGGAAAACACAAAGTTATAATTTTATGACCTTTCTACACCAGCATCCATCAACTGAAGGCATGGAGGATCTGGGTAGAGATAGAGGGCAAGGACGACACAAGGAAAGAGGAAGTTTTATTATCCGTTTTTACATCTCCTGTGAGGAAGAGAGTTTTACCGTTCAGCCAGAGATATATGTGATGGGGAAAAATAATTTGAAACACCTGATCTTGAAAACTAGGCATAACTAGGAATGTCTGATCTGAAAATTCACCCCTCATTGTGTGTTGTTTTCTGCCTGAAAAGCCTTCAAAATGTTTGCATTTATGTGGCCCAAATGAAATCCGGTCTCCATGATTTCTGTTTGTCAGCTATTAAATGTGACCATCTTAAGTTTTTTTTAAACTGCTAAAAAATAAGTCAGACAGTGTAGTAGATAATTGCATCCTCCAGGCAGTGACGATGACCCCTTTAGCTAGTCATGTGTCCGACTACTCTTTCTAGGCGGAAACATAATCCACAAGCCCCTCTGACAGCCAAGCTTGAAGTATTTTTGATTTGATTAGACAGCTTTTGTGATCATGTACTGCGCTGACTTAAATTAAAGCTGAACGGGGAAGAACATCACTACAACACTGCTGCTTCTTGTCTAATTGTGGCACTCATTTGAAGACTGTACTACAACAAGACACTTTATACATCTCCCTTTTCCTGAAAACACTATTATAAATATAATGTGCACCCGTCTTCTTGACCTTGTATGTTTAGAGTTACAGCTCGACCAAGCATCTGTTTACTGGGCTTGTTGTTTTCTCCCAAGTCTATCCTATATACCTTTCACAACCAAACAGCTATCAAGTCCCACCTTGTTCAAAATAAATCCTTTGTTTTTGGCATTAATGTCCGTATTAAGGATATGGTTGCCTGGCATAAACTGAGGTTACTATAGCCAGATGAAAGCTCAGTAAAACCTTTTAGCCAGAGCTGAGCCGCAGAGTTAAGCCTCAAAGACCCGTGTTCTCGTCTTGTAAAAGGGGGATAGAAGAGTGGCATGTTGTGCAAACACACTAAGGCGAGGTATTCTTGGACCAATGCTCTTCAATGTGGTGACTGCCCTTCCACTGAACCCTAGTATTTCTTTGATGCTCAGCTTACACAACTTGAATGAGAGTTGAATTGCGAATATTTGGACCAATTAAAAGGCAGGTAGTGAAGGGTTTGGATATTGAGAGGTTAGGACTAGATGAACAGATAGTATAGAGTAGGCTTTGGGCAAGAGGAGGGGATATAGAAAAGAGGCTTTTAACTTGAACCCCAGGTGTTGAAAGATGGAAGAGTTAAGCTGAGGGAACAAAACTTGTGCATATGGTATTATGAGAGAGGACAAAGGGAAGGAAAGAAAAAGAAAACAAAGCACTAGGGGTATCAAATAGTTACATTTCAATTCATCGAGTGGACACACTTTGCATTTTAAATCAGTTTTAAACTGCAAGTTCGAGGCTGCACGTGTCCATGTAGATTCTCATTCATCCAAGTCATGGTTTTCTTGAAGACTCCAAAATCAGGCAACTGGACTGTGTAGAGTTGAGAAGATGTTTCGCCTCTTATCCAAGAAACTTCGAGCCCCGAGCTGCACCTTGATGCAATTGTCAGCATTGTTGCTTCATAGGAAGAAGGTTGCTAGTTGGAATCTCTAGTTTGCATGTCCTTTACCTGCTTGCATGTGCTTTTTTTTTTCGGTGCACAGTTTTCCTCCCACAGTCAAAAGACAAGCTTGTTGGGTTAATTCCTCGCTCTATAGATTTCCTGTAGTTGTGATTGTCTGCGTGAATGGCTGTCTGTCTTCATTTGTCAGCTCTGAGATTGGCTGACTGCCTGTCCGGGATGTACGCTGCAACAGGGTAACAACATGCTATCCTGAAGAAATCCTTTAAAGTCAAGTTTTCAACAACGTGGACTTGCTTGCTCTCATTTTCCAATCATTTGGCAAGCATAACTTCTTCAGTTAAATTCTTACCACATGTTCAACTCACAGTTTAGATTAGTGCTCTGAGGACTTTTGTGATATAATTGCCTTCTGACATCAGTCTAAATAGCTCACTGGCAGTAGCTCAAGCTGTCTCTGAGTGCATTTTACCTTTTGACATTTTAACTGAACCTTATGGGGGTTTAAAAAAGTAAAATGTTGCAGTGTCGTCATTATTTCTATTATGCAGCAGCTAACTACTTTGGCGCTAAAAAGGATATACTGCATTAACCTGACTAGAAGATGGAGATTTTTTTCTCTTCTGAATGCGTCTAGTTAAAATGGGGTTGTCTTATATTTGCTGTTTAATTATCACAGAGCTACCAATGCCAAACATTATTGCTTTTTCAACAGTAGGATATGGAAACTTACTTAAAAATCCACTCGCTTTGTGAGGCCTACAGCTTTCTGTTCTGGATGATCACACATACAAAATCAAAGGAAATTAATCAAACAAATTGGGATTATTTGGCAACAGTTTCAAACACCTCTGACAAAACTGACATTACATATTCCCCTAAAACGGTTTGATAACCATGTAAGAATGAACATTTATCTTTTCTTGAGATTTGCTCAAGTCGTATTTGTAAGAAAATCCATTCAACACCATTCACTGCTTAATATTTCAAAGGGCAGATGAAATTGTACCCACCGTATGAGCTAAATCTAAGCCCCCAAAACATCTTACAGGTCCCAGTTTGCTCGTATCAGATCAAATGTAAAAGGTGTCAAAGAGAAAACCTCTTTACTGTAGTTTACATCAAAGATTCAACTCTTCATTGTAGTTTGGATCAAAGAAAACAAACAGTCAGAGTGTTAAATCTCGAAGGCAATGGGGAGATGGAGGTTTTGAAGAGATGTGGGGGTGGAAATGTAGAGGGACTGACAAAGGAATGGCTAAGGGCGATAAAATGAGGAAAAATACAGAGGAAAGGAGGAAAAAGTTTGATAAAGGGAAAAGGTAACTGGAAGAAGAGATGGGAACAGAGTTGAAGAGGATGAAATGATTGCAAAAGAAGATAGTGAAAGACTTCGGAGATGAGGCAGCATGCTTGGGGATCCCTCTTCCAAGATAAGAAAGGCAGAGAGAGTGGATTGGACAGAGATATTCATAGAGAAATGACAAAAAAGAGACGACTTAACAGATATCATGGTGGGTATATGTTAACTGATGATTACAGACAAGGCATAAGAGAGTAAAGGAAAAAATTTACACCATATGAATGAAAGGAAATAGACCGAAATACATGGGGTGGACTGGAGAAAAGATGGGGGAGGGATGCCTGCAAGTGTCTTCAGAGCACACCTTGAACTTTAAATATCATGAGATTGACAGACGTTTTTGGCAGATAATTTCCCGTGCCATCCATTATCATTCCTGTCACTCCGCTTTGGATGCCATCTATGACTGAAGAGACATTCAAGTAGCTGTGACATTTTCATACAAATCAATGTCCATTTTGCTGCTGTCTTTCCCCACACAAAGGTTATAAAAGCAAGTTGTTTGGGCTGTCGCTGGATAAATACCCCATATGGGAGGTTGAGTGTACCTGCACTCGGCCCCTGCAACAAAGAAAAGAAAAGAGCATATCAGACAGAAAGTGCAAAGCATTATCACCCCAATTTTTCAAGTATCTGATATGTTATTGTTCCCAGGTCTCATTCAGCTGGTAAAGTACTTTTTGGTATTTGTGCAGGTCTACAAGACCATAAAAGTGGGGATATTAAATGCTCAAAGCAGCTGCAGTTTCAATAACAGACTTGTCTAGATTGCATACGTACATGTAAGTGACCACCATTACTGCAAGATAATGGCTTGAATCCACAATAATGAGTTATCTTCCTGTGCACACAAGTGTTTATTATATGTCTAGAAATAATCTTGTGCACACAGTTACAAATCTTGTACTGACCATAGACTGCCTCCTCGCTGGGTGAAGCCACTCCGAAAACAGCCCCATCTGGTGCTGGACTGCAGTATAGGTCATAAATCGCGCCTCCGCTGGCCATCACTATACAGCTGTGGACAAACTATAAATTAATTACACAGAATATAAATATTTTTTCCCCCTGCTTGTGATGTTGACATGTAGTTACTGTAAGACTGGTTTGTGCTCAAGTCCTCTTTTTTTCTTTACAGCTCAATTATTAAAAGTTATTAGGGGGTTCATGTTTTCTATGATTGACACTTGATACAGTCTATGGGCGTACAAAGATTGCATAGCTCACCCGGGGGATACGCTGTTTGAGCCAAACATCATCACAGCGACTCTCCCACCGAATGCGTGCAACGCCACTGCGCAATGTTGGTTTAAGGAAATTGAGAAAAAACGTTGAATTACCGAGAGCTTTTCGGTTTCAAATCTGTATACAGGCGGAAGGCGTTGTCCATACAGTCTATGGTTGGCACACCGTGATATCTGATGCCCAGGAGTTAATATCAATCAAGATTCTATCTTGTTAGTACAAGATAGTTTTATTCTTTCCATAAGATAACTTGTTTTTAGAGGTTATTTTTATCTTCATCATTGTCATGTGCATGTGCATGCAGTGTATCTTAATGTATATTTTATTGTAACTTTTGCACAGTTATCTTGCTCGAACATAATCCTCTAGATTAAAACAATTTTAATATTCTCTGGTAAACGTACTGGCAGCTGTTCTCTTTCTGTTAAACAAAGCTGTCTCTGTGTTATTTTACAAGTCAAGTAAAAAACATACGCCTCCACACAAAGCTTCTCCTCACCCCCCCACTGTCCCTCCACTGACCCCCACTGTGCACCAAAGATTTCATTCCCTTCCTCTTTCTCTTCTGGGACTGTCTGACTTTATTTCCTACTTTTCATCAAACGTTCCACCATTCAGATTTCTTCTACAGGCTCCAGGAGAAGAAGTTATGTCACATAAGTTTTTGCTCCCTTGGAATTTAAAAAGCCCAAATTTAAGAAAGATCAGTCATCTTTGTGTAGTCGATGTTGTCAAAATGCCTGTTAAGCTTTTGGTTTCCGTATTCATTCTTTTAAATTTCATTTTACTGCACAGACGCAGGGAAGAAGAGCCTGTCAAGGATTTAGGGAGACGGGTAGAGGAAGCATTCAAGATTTCCAAAAAGGAAAAGCATGTAGCATATTATGAAATATGATAGAGGCAGCTTGTCGTGCTCCAGGCAGAATAACACACTTAGCATGCAGAGGGGTGGTGGGTGAAGGAGGAGAGAGAGAGAAAGACAGGCAGAAAGCGAGAGAGACTGAGAGAGAGCAGGACAGTTATTTGGAGACAGATGGAATGAGATCTCCCTAAAATGGTTCTGAGCATCGCCTGGACGAGCATCTACCTCCCCCGCTTTTTTTCCCTCCCAGCTCTCCTCCTTCTTTCTAAATGCCCATCCCATCTCTGTCACTCTCTCTGTCTCTCACACTTCGTCCCTGCTGTTTTCCTCTCCCTCTGGGCACCCACGCCTCCTCCCCTCCCTCTCCCTTGTGTTTAGCTGAAATGACACCGTGCTCCCTGCGTTTCATCAGAGTGTGCTTGGCATCTCTGGGGGTGTGTGTGCGTGCATATAAACCAGTGTGTGTCCTCAGAAACAACAGGAATGCATTGACTGATTGTGCATAAAGTTTGGTTTTATACACACACATAAACTGTGATGTTTCTCTGTGCTTATTTGTGACTATATAAAATTCAATAGCGCCGTATCTTTATTTTACAGCTCCTGCACAGATAGTGTCAGTCAGTCCTTATATGTGTTTAATGTGCATGTCACCAAGGTGGAGCGTGTTTATGTGTGCGTGCATTTCATGTTCCCTCTTTTATACAAGTGTGCGTGGGTGTTTAAGTTGATCAATGATCCTCTCCTCCATCCTGACATGGGGGCTTGTTTGGAGAGCCACTTACCCTGATTGGACTAAATGAACAGAAAGAAAGAACGAGAGAGGGAGCGAGGTTGGGCTCCGGAGAGTAAAGGCTGCTTAAAACAGCAGGGCGGCGTTCTGTGTACTGCAGGCCGATCCATCAATACAGGCTGTTAAGGGGCAGGGGAGAGATCGCTGAGCGATGTCTTCAAACACGATGCAATCATAGACTCCTATCCACCAGAGACAGAGACATAAACAGAGCCATTAAAGGTTATTCAGACACAGGGTTCACACCTGCATGCTGCTCGCAATACACACCACATGTCATCTGAAATAAACAGCGAGTCCTCATTTTTCAATGCCCTAATGCACACACATTGTGAACAGAGTTTGTGTGCGAGTAAGATACTTTGCGCACCTGAAAGTGTGTCTCAGCAGGACAAAACAAAAGAGTTTCAGTAGATGTTGTTTTCTGCCGGACAAGTTGGCAAGTGAAACACTGGAATACAGACCCTATAGACCTGTCAGGGAGAAGCCCTGAATTTGTAGATGATCTTGTGTGCCAGGCCATATCAACTGACAGCTCAGTCAGTTACCTTGCATGCATCCATTCGTCCTCCTACTTTTCTGGCTCCCTCTGCAAACCACTTTGCAGCTCGCTCCCACCCCAGCTCCTCTTTTTAGCACTGTGTCTGCCACTGTTGCCACTGATACCTGCTCTGTTCTGGTCTTTGCTGCTGCTCTCCCTGCCTCGGCTTTTCATACATAGACATGGATAGGAGGGAGGTGCTGTCCCTGCTTCTGTAGAGGACTTATGGATGGAGGGCATGAAGCTCTTAGAACAGAGCCGTACAGCCAAATATCACTTATTAAATGACAATAATTGATTCTTTAAAAAAAAAGAAAAAGTCCTTAATTTATGATAAAATATTACTTGAGGCCATTTGCTCCATAAATGGACTAATATTCTTGCACTTTTTGGACCTCAGAAAGCAGTTTCTGTCATCTAAAAGCACATAAAAGACATGAGGAGTCCTTCGTGTCTTTTTATGTACACGTGTGGGAGCTCTCAGAATAGAGCTATTACACCAAAATAACTTACTCCTGAACTTAATTAAGTCTTTGAGAAGAAAGCAGTCCTGACTGAATTGGCCTTGTCCATCAAGTGCACAAACATTTTTTTAAATATCAAAATAGAGTAGCTGTGAGATGCATGATGTGTATGAACATAGTTGAACAGTGTATCTTACATAAGTATTTTATAACGTTCATCTTGTATTTACGAAGTCAACCAGTCCAGCTGTCTCAGTCATCATTAACAGTTCCAGCCGCCACAGCTGTCACTTGTTGAATGAATGTGATCTCAGCCGCCTGCCAGGATCACAACACTAGTGCTGTGTTCTAACTGTTACCTCCTTCACTGACAATGTGTGAAATTACATTTTAGAGACGTGATGGTTAGCATAACAGAAAAGGCCACGCTCGTCTCTGCTGATGACAGTGTCTGAGTCGTGTTCAGAAAAAAAGGGCAAATATTTGCCTGATGCACCATCATAATTGTAAAATGGAGAAAAGTGGTATAAAATTAGGACTGCAGCAGAAACGTAGGGATCGATTTTCCTGCTTTTAGAGGAAGTGCAGTAATCGAGCCAGTGCAGTAATCTCAAAGTGCAACAGGCAACTCCAACTCCATCCTCAGATTACAACCTTACATTTCATTCACTCTCAAGCAACTTAAACAACTTTGTGAAAGTAGTCACAGAAATTGTTGTTTTTAAACTCTCCAAAGTCCGTGTTTGGCCATTTCAAGTAATTATGTGGATAAATCAATAAAGGTAATGTTACAAGTCTCTATCAAGGATACTGCTGACATTCACAATCTAGAAAGAGACAACTGAGCAATATTAATTCTACAATGAATTACAAATGAAAGATACCTCTTCAGAGGCAATTTACTCACCTGGGAAAGTATTCTTGATTGTCAACATTGGTTCGGGATTTACATAATGTCTTTCTCATAACTGCACAGCTGCGGCTCTGTGCTCCTTTGACCACTTGGCAGCATGGTTGTATTTGTAACCAGCCGGTATTTTTCTCTAACTAGAGCGCTTGTTAAATCACAACCGTCTTCACAGCGATGGCCGATTCCTCTCCAGGAGAAAATACGTCAATACTTCACTGGACACAATCATGTAATTGTGTTTCATGAGCTGCTGTATGACCCTAATCGTATGAACCAAATCGGTCCTTTTAGCCCACATCCCCAGCTGTTGCCATGGTGACAGCCCCAGGTGGGACGCTGATGGACAAATCCTGCTCCTTTTCTCACGCCGCTAAGCTATCTCTCCCATCTCAATTAGTGGCCAACAATAGTCAAGTGATAATTTGCTGAATGAGTCAATCAAAACATTTCCCACCTCTCGTCTTGGGGATGAGTCGTCTCTCTGTCAGTTATCTCACCGCTAATTCTGAGTGACCATGACAGATGTTAGCTCCCCCCCACCCTCCTTCTTCCAGCATCGTCACACGACAGACATCCTCTGTCATCCCACTGAATTTCTTACTTGTTTCTGTCTGACTGCGCATTGTACATCAAAGGTGACATTGGATGTCTTATCAGAGGTCCATCTTCCGACTCTCCCACATGTGTGCACTTTGAAGTTGCAGAGATTAGATGTTGCCATACAGTAAAACACATGATGCATTAAGCCCTTAGTGCGGACACTAATAGACGAACAGACTTGTCCTTGAGCTGATATAAGGCATAGCACAGTTGTTTGTTGTCATGGCTTTGCCTTCCTTTTCATCAGATATTTTCTATATTCTGCGGTGCAGTCCTGTCAGGAGTGAACGGGTGTGGTGGAAATCTGTAGGGGGAGCTATCACTGATCTGCAGCTTAATGAAATCTTTATTTGTCTTGTACTAGCCACTGTTTAACTACAATTTTCAGTGTCTTTCAGGCTCCACCTCCAACTCCTTGTTTTGGCTGCTTTTCTGCTGAAGTAAAGTTTGACACAGCATGTGGGTGTTACTTTTTACACAGCTTTGTAGCCATGAAACGACCCAAAATGATAAGCTTTTATGCTTTTCCATTATGTTATATTAGCTGCTGTTACAATCTTACTATGACCATCTTTTTTTAAATGAAACAACCCAAGAGTTCAGAAAAAGTTGACATGCAAATTCAGCTCATATTAGTCTTTGTTTACAAAGAAGTCATCAATTAAGTGGTGAATACAAACTTCTTCTGGCAACCCACTCTTTCACAACTTTCTAAAACTTAAGAAATCAGCCTTGCAGCAGAAAAGTCAAAGGTGGAAATTTGGGTAGTCCTAGCATGATGGCAGAGGTTGATGCCACGTCGAGGCCGAGAATTATGTGCATGCATTATTAACAGGACAACTCCTTTAGGTCTCCTTTAAGTAATAAATAACAAACTTAATGTATTGATTTGGTTTAAAGGGAGGATGTGAGAGAGGCTAAGAGAGGGTCAACTGAGCATGAAGAGAGACAGAGAGAAAGCAGAGAGGATCGGCTGAATGATGATGATAGTGTGTAGCTGGGGTGCCATTACAGGCAGTTATAGGCATTATATTAATGGAGTGTACTAGTGTCTTTGGTTTAATTGCCCTAATCTTGATGTGTGTGTGTATACCTCTATGTGAGAGCCATTCTGTGCCTGAGCCTGCAGCTTCCTTCACACTGTGCTGTCTTTGTCGTGACCTCGTGTGAGTGATATTCATGTCATACCGTCCTGCAGAGGGATGAAACACGGACACACGCAGGTGATGGGATCAAAGAACACAGTGCAGAGGTCTTGCCACGGGTGACAGATGGTTAATTGTCATGCAAAATCAGAATGAAACGTTTTTATCACAGCACAATTTACACGGACACGCTGCACGATGCCTTGTTAGCTGTTTGTCTGCCTTCATTAACATCAGACCCTCTGTGAGCAAATTTAGCAGTGCTAACTGTGCGACACATGGCCAAATGTTTCAGCTGTTTGTTCATCCAGCGAGGCTGCTAAAGTAGAGGGAGTGTTAACATATTTAATCCTCATGAGTTAAATGGTCTGTGATGAGGAGAAGGAGAAATACTCAAGAGTCTTTTCTGTGACATTTAAAGACATCTGTTGACTCAAATTGAGCAAAAAGAGTGCAAAGGTGAATAAAAACAAGAAAAATGAGACTAACGTGCTGATTTTTAAGTGAATGTACCGTTTCTCTCAATGTGAGGCCATTCATTCTTCTGCGCAACACTTGGATTCTGAGCACGTTACATGAATTAAACCCAGCTACTTAACGCTCCTGTGAGGGGACTGAAATTTATATCTGTGATTTTTATTGATATGCAAAAGCAAACAAGGCTATCAACAACAACAGAAATGATTAATTTTACACAGTAATTTTTAATACCTGAAACTGGTGCGAGGGGGTAGGTGTCAGAGGGGCATCAAATATTTAGAAATTACAAATCTGAGGATGTAATTTGGGCATGATGAGCAGGGCAGAGAGCTCTAACTTGCCGATGGCATTCATTATCCCCCAAAGATGATCTCTATCTGCTTTCTTGCCTCTACTGCCAAAAATTTCCACTTAAGTATTATATCAAATTGGTTACAAAGATGAATGTTAAACACATTTCCCATTCAAAATCATGCCCCTCAGAGGATAGACCCTCTGCGATTTGAATGCTCCAATGATTTCTTTTAAGCACCCTCTTAGGCCAGCACATTGATTTTAACATACGAGCCACCCCCCAAAGGTAGATCACCATAAACTTTGCTGATCATGCCCCCACGAGAACAAACCTTTCCAGCTTTCCTGTAAAACCCTCCTCAGGACAAACTTTACGCTTTTAGGAAAACTCGAAGAGTAATAGAGTCGTTGAAATGTTGTTCATTATGCACTACCGTTTGCTTTGCTTTGGAGTGATGAACAGCCTCAGGGGACCATTAGTGGGTTGTTAAGTCTTGTTAATTTTATTTACTTTTAGACTCACTGCCTGAAGATGAGGGTTTTGAATCAAAGTGTTTCTCCCTGTGATTCATACTTTAATATCTTTCACAAACATGAATGACTCAATCCTCAAAATGTAATTGTCTTGTCAGCAGAGGTTATTTATTAAATGATTCAACTGTTTACTGTTTTAATGAGCCACGGGCCACAAATTACTGAAAACGGTAAATGAGAAAATCCCTGTTATACATACAAACACAAACAGCAGCTGCAATAAATATCCCCTACTTAATTAAAAATGATATGACTAACATGTGTACAGGCCAGACTTTCTCAAAGCATATCATACTTTCACATGATTTGCAGGCAATTTAATTAGAACAGCAGTATTCAGCATCCCAAGTTCAGAGTGGTTAATTAGTTATGTAAGTGCTGGATTGAAAAGAAGAGCAGTCAATTAACAAAGTCTGCAAAAGGGGCACATGTTGCTCTCGGCTGGTGTTATAATGTTGTACCCCCTGGCAGGCATTACTAATCAACCACCAATCACTTTTTGCCAACACTTTATGGAGAATCAGAAGAAAAAGTTGCACCTAAATGATAATTTGCACTTGCACAAATGTTCTTTTAGATCACTCAGGTTAAAATCCGAGAGAATACGTAAAAAATGCATAAAAATACATATTTCCTGTGGTAAATATGTTGTATTTTTAAATCATATATTATTCAAAGCAACATACTAGATACAACTGATAGTGTTGTATAGCTACTGGTAATATGGGAGATAAAAATTATTGAACACATCACATATCATGATGAAGCACAGACTCATGAGAAAAATCCCTTTATACATGCAGCCATACAGAGTGAGGCTCAGTCTTCTAAACATGAAACTGCTGCAACAAAAAAAGCAGAGTGAAAATCTTGCAGCATTTGGTTTTGTGCAGACTTGTTCTTGATAAGAAAAAAAAAAAAAAGCATGTTCACATGAAACCTGGTCACAATCAGTCTGTTGCAGAAACTGAGGCACAGATGATGCTGGTGTGGAGGTTCATGCCACAGTTGCTAGTCCGGATAATTGGCTAGCATTGACTTTTCACCGGCCCAAAGATGAGTCAATGTTGTGATAGAAAAGTTCTCGATATCTGTGTTGAAAGTGGGAGTTGCTACAGAGACTGGGCTGAATGTCCCTGCTGTATCCAACACCTCTAGCTAATTACTCCACATTTAAAACACCACCCCTGGTAGCTGAATGAACCAAAATTTGCGTGTTTGTATTCGTTTTTAACAATCAATTATGACTTACTCAAATGCCGACAGCTCTCTTGCTAAGCGAGGGCTAATTTCCCCAGAAAAAAAAGAAAAAAAAAACATCTAATATTCCCATTATTTCAGCATCAAAAAGCAGCAAAGTAGTAATAACCAAGGGTTCGTGAGGAGCAAAATAACTGACATTATTTTATCTATGAAGGCGAAGGAACACAAGGAACGCAAATGAAGCCTATTATTGTGCCAGTGGTTATTAGTTCATGTTGTCATGTGATGTGACAGATCAGAGGGGAACCGTGGAGCTGCAGTGTGACATGCATGGAGACGGGTCAATGGGCTGAGATGTGAATATCACTGTTCCAGCCCCCGCTAACAGACTGCTGTAATGTAATCTCCACAGACTCCTTTTAGCAGCTGTAGCTATTTCTTTTTTTTTTTGTCTTCTGCTGTCCTTGTTTCCTGTACTTTGATCTATTTCTGGCATTGTTTTACAGCAGTTTGGTTGCCTGTTCAGGAGGCGGTGTGTAGACTAAACGAAAGACGGCAAACAAGATAAATCTGTGAATTTTGTACAAACTGTAGGAACAAATGACTGTTTTTCTACCCAGCGTGTTATCGCTACAGTATATGTTTCTTTGTTGGGAGTGGGGGTGGGGGTGGGGGGGTGATGCTCAATGTGTCGAGGGGTGGCGTGGGGAGGGTAAGGAACAAGGGATGAGATTTTTCTGTAAACGGTCGGGGACTGTGCAATGATACTTGTAATTATTAAGAGAATCCAGAGTATAGAGGTGGAAAAAATGTCCCTTATGACAAATGAAATAAAGTGTTATATTTGCATGATTTCCTGTATTTTCATGGAGCAGATATTTATGGTTGTGATTACTGAGTACATGTACGTCACATTAACTGTTTAATTATGAAAATGAAAAAAAAATACTGTCAATTTCTTCTGTGAATATAAATATACAATTTTCTTAGCTCTTTTATGACTAACTCAGCTGCCGCTTCTTTATTTGATGTACACTCCTTCATGCTTTCTTCAAATGTGATCTCTTTGCAGCACCCCTTCAAAGTGAATTCATCCTCCTCAGAGGCCCTGAAAACCTTGGTCCTCTGAGCTCTCAAACCACACCCTAACAGATCTTGATTTCTCTCATAAGGGGCAGCTTTACGCTCTGAAACACAGCTTCAAATGCCACCACCTTGCAAACAAAGAAAAACATGCAGAAAAACAACTCTGAATGCATCATAAGTTATCTCTTCTTTGATAGCATCAAAACTGCAACATAGAAACTATTCTGACAGTTTAGAAGCTCCAGAATGCAAAGGCAAACATGAAAAGTGAATAAAACAGTTGGAACAAAAGGCTTAAAAATGGTGTAGCTCCCGGGTAAGTATTCAAAACCAAGGCCTTTTTTAAAGAGGAATTTTAGTGGCTATTTACTAACAAGTGCAAAAAATATCTGCCTTTATAAAAGCCAGTGAAAGGAAAAGTTCACAGCCTCAGAATAATGATAGTCCTGGTTAAATGTGACTCAAAAACAAGTCAAAGTTGCCACATGAGTGTAGGTCTTTGCAGTATTTAGCAAGTTACAGTGGAGAGGAGGAACTTCCTTTAACAGGCAGAAACCTTGAACAGGACCAGGCTCATGTTAGGCAGTCATCTGCCGCCACTGCATTGGGTTTACTGACTTCGAACCATACCTGACAAGTTTTGGTTTGGAAAATAAGGGAAACTGTCCGACCCCCCCACAGACTTTGAATTAACCCCCACCCTGGATCAGTGCAGCAAGAGGGGGGTTAATTCACCATTTGTGTGATCACAGATGACGACTTGCTACAACTAGTTGGTGGGTACTTAGCGCACGCTCATGACAGAGTTCAGTTTGGAGAGGCAGAATAATGTTTTTTCATATACATATATTATAATACAGAACATTTACGTGAGAATACTGTTAGGGAAGATGGTGGAAAAGAAGGGTAAAACACAGTAGTTTCCCAGCCAAAACAGGATACATGACAGCTATGCATAAAGCTCCTATTGGGGAGCTATTTGACATTTATAAAATTGATATAAATTCACACCAATGTCCTTTTGTAATTTTAAAAAGGCAGAAATATCATCTCCAACAAGACTGGTGATTTTCATACCATAATGTGAAATCCCTGTAACCTTCACAAGGGGGTAGGTAGGTGTCAGCTCAGCGGCTGCAACAAACTTTTTAATCTTTTTTATTTTTACACTGTCCCTTTGTGATATGGTAGAATTATGATGGAGGCCAAACTCAGAAGAGTGCCTAATCATGATGTTAAAAAGTAAAAGCAATTCATAACCATCAGTCTCCAGTTGTTGGATTCTCTCTTGTACAGCTCCAGAGTCAGCAGCAGTCCTGAATAATTATATGTTTAACATAATCAGAGACATCTCATTATTGAAGTTAAGTGCAATTTAATGCACATTAGTGTCAATTAAAATGTAAGCACCAACAGTAATTATATTTCTTCAATAAAAGAGCCCTGTATAAACTAAGAACTAGAGTGGACATTGAAAAATTTAACTACAAAATTAAAACATCTACCTTAAGTATTCTGATAGCTCTATCATTATTGTGAAAAAACTGTTTAAGCAGCTCTCACACAACAGCTATGTGAATTACACTCTGGACATCCATGAGGCTTTCAGAGTTCTGTTTTGCAGGCGCGTTGCTGCCTGTGGTGGAGCCGACACCGGAGGCCCTGCTGCATTAAACAGAGATGGGCTGGTAGATGCAAGCACTTGACTCTGCCCTCCTCCTTGATGGGAACTCATTGTGTTCTGACCTTTAAGTTCCCCCGATATCTCTCTACATGTCTCCTTTGCTGTTTTCCCCCCTCCTGCTATCTCCCTGTGAGGGCTGGGGACCTGACAGCTGATTTGAAGCACTGCGGCGGCACTGGCGTTTTGTTTAATGATTTCCCCCCCTCTCCCATCTCTCTTTCTTGGATGCGCCTGTCTTAATGTGTTCAGTCTTTCACCTCTGATTCTCCCTTGTTCCTCTCCCCCTCTCTCTCCCTCTTTTCATTTCACCGCTGTCTATCTCCTTCCATCTCTCCATTGTTTTAATGAGAGAAAAAGAAGGACTGTGAGAATTGCATATCAGTATGCAGGCCGTCTACCTCCCCTCTCTGCAGAAAGCTGGTATCTGGGCCACAGAGACAATAGCTGCTCAGGGCGATGGGACCAAGGATTACACTCACAGTCCAGTGACATCGTATATCAGATTCTTATTTAAAGTATAGTTCATCCTCACTTCTCTGGTTTGTTTGCTCTTGTTGGAAAGCGTGCTTTCTAATTGGTTGTAATTTCTTGCAGTTTATGAACACATGACAAGTGAATACCGGAATGCAACTTTGTTACTTTGAGCTCAAGTGAGTTAGGTAAATATCCATGAGATGAATAACTCTCAGTCATAAGTGATTATTATTATTATTGTTTTTTATTTTTTCATTATTATTCAAACACCAATCTTTAGTTATTACTCCCAATAGAAACTTTTGGTTTCTGTCAATTTCAATTCGTGCTTTTCTTGCCTTCTACATGTTTAAGTTGCGTTCTCAGACAAAAACCTCCTCCTGCTGACTTTTGTCATTCAATGTTATCAGTTATTGGGCTGAGGATGAACTGTAGTTCATGGCACTTAAACCTGGAGGTTCACGCTTTAGCATTCTTCCAAAAACAAGTCTGTAGACAGTCGATATCTGGGAGTGACACCAAGGTGGTCAGTAACTTTGTACTGTTAGTCATCTCTGAAGATTCTTCAGTTTTGTCTGCATTTTTTATCATCACATATTCAATGGGCTACAGTAACTGGTTACATCCAGGAAAACGCCATGCTTCCTTTGGATAGGTCGAATTGGTTTACGGTCCTCTTACAAACAAACTACAATTAAGTCTGAATGAAAACAAGTTGTGACTTCATTCTCTGCAGCTTCAACACTAAGGCAAACAAAGTGCACTGATTTGGCAAACAGACTCAAGGTCTTATAAATCAGACGGTTTAGATAGTAACCAAAAAAGGGACAGATTTAAGGACATCATGAAATTTCCTTTTCTTAACCCTAGAAACCTATCGCTAAAATTTGTAACACCATCACTATCGCCAGATGATTTTTACCCTGAATTAATATACCCAAGAAAAAGAACTTGTCATCAAAATAGGACAATACATGACAAATTAAAGTAGTTTTCTTTTATTTTTAACTGTGCAATGTCCAGAGGGAGGGGGAAAAAGTGCCATGAGGGGACTACATAAAAATGCAACAAAATAACTGAAATTAGGCACTCATGAACAAAAAAATCCTTTAAAAAGAAAAATTGTAAACTTAGTTTCTTTTCCACTCATTCCTGGGGCTTGTGAGTCTCCCCTGGTGAAGATTCAGGGTCCTTGGCACAATAACAGCTGCAGGAGAGAGAACCAAAATATGGCATATTTTGAGTGAGTAAAAGTGACCAGCTGACTAAAATATTTCTTATCACCATATGAATTCCCTCGAAAATCACTACTTTGTGATAGTTATTCATAACCACTGCTAAATAAATATAGCATGCAAATTCCAGGACCACTCTTACTGACCTTATTCGCCTACATGCAGCTATCAAATCCACCCTCTATCACTATTGCTGGGTGAAAATCACCTAAACACATGCCTGTAGGAAAAAGCAGGTTTTGGATCAGGGAAACAAATATGCCTTCAAAGATGTCAAAGGCAACACTAAAGCTACCCAGTGACCCATGATACTCAGACAAACGCAACATAATGAAAATCATGTAAACATGTTTGGTCAGGTGAAAATTACCCAGTGATAGTATTCTAGGTTAAAAACTGGATGCTCTCTCCACACTTCTGTATTTGAACTTTTCTCAGGATGTTTTTGTACTAGCCTGATCTGACACATCCACATTGGTCCCGCATGGGTCCTGTGCTTCATTCGTCCATCTGCTCCACATTGGCCCTGTGTGGACAAATGTCCATTCTGCCTGTATCAGCAGGGCTGTAATGGGACCAAGAACGGCCAAGAGTGAATATCTCTGTACTCTTTGTCTTCTGGCTTTGGATGTGAACTAGACAGATTGAAGTTATGTGAGTAGAACATATTTTACTCAAGGTGGTCCAGTCCATACTTATACTTCCATAGATATTCAAAGTTAACTCCCCAAGTTTATATGACACTGCGGCTGCACACTGCAATTTGTGCCAGCATTTCAATTCAATTTGCTGTGGCAGAGAATACCATGAGCACTTTTCTATAACACTGAGAATTCAGTCTTTTTAGGGCAGCAATCCTCTCCCTTAAGACTGCGAAAGGTATTTACCCTTCCGGTAAACTGTTTGCAATGACTATATTTTGCTGTGTTTGGGTTTTTCTTCTTGGTGTGGCACAAATTGGACCTTTAATAGCCCCCTTCAGAGAGCTAACAACACCCCTGTGAGGGACAGGCCGGCCAGACGGCTCCAATCATGTACCCTTACACTGTCATCATCACACTAACTGCAATGCAGTGTTGTGCAACCCAAGTCCCAAGACCAGGTTTATCACTGACAGTAAATGTAAAATAGGCCTGTCTGTTTTTGTGCCATTAGAAGAAGTGCCTTTGCTAAGCCTTTAAATCCATGGCACTGACCCAAAAAAGAAGTCTTTGAGAAATCTCTTGCCCATGCATCTAAACTCTATTCTCATGGTTTACAAATTCTTACAGATGACAATCCTTGAGCTGAGCGATGCAAACTGCATGCACAGATTTGCAAATAGCTGTTACATTTATGTGTTTGTTTAATCTTGAATTGTCACAGCAGCAGACTGTCAACTGATTCTATTTTTTTCCTTCAAGAGCAATGACTTTAAGAAAGCTCCATAAGTAGAATGCATGCACTCTTATTCCTCACAATTTCTGAACATTAGACCTCTTTCAGGTTCGCTGTATGTTTTTTTTTTTTTTTTTATGATGCTCATTCTGT